TTTTTTTTGAGACAAAGCCTCAAGCTGTTGCCCTGTGTAGAGCACTGTAGCATCACAGCTCACAGCAACCTCAAACTCTTGGGCTTAAGTGATTCTCTTCCCTCAGCCTCCCAAGTAGCTGGAACTATAGGTGCCTGCCACAACACCTGGCTACTTTTTTTGTTGTTGTTTAGCAGGCCTGGGCCAGGTTTGAACCCACCAGCCTTAGTGCATGTGGCCAGTACCCTAACCACTGAATAACAGGCATCGAGCTGGAACATATTTCTTTATACACAAATGAGAAGAGGTGAAAATACATAATCCTTGGCTGGGCACCATGGCTCATGCCTGTAATCCTAGCACTCTGGGAGCCTGAGGTGGGTAGATCACCTGAGCTCACAGGTTTGAGACCTGCCTGAGCAAGAGCAAGACCCCGTCTCTAAAAATAGCCAGGAGTTGTGCCTGTAGTCCCAGCTACTTGGGATGCTGAGACAAGAGAATCGCTTGAGCCCAAGAGTTAGAGGTTGCTGTGAGCTCTGACACCACAGCACTCTACTGAAGGTGACAAAGTGAGACAAAGAAAAGAAAAGAAAAGGCAAGGCATGGCATAATTCTTAGCGGATGGGCAAGTCCTCTGTCTGTGCCTGGAGAGATCCTTGGTGTGTGCCCTGCCTCCACCCCAGCAGACACTCCAGGCTCCCTCCGGCTGATCACTCACGTGTCCAACTCATCCACAGGGGTGCCCGAGCCACCTAAGCCGCAGTAGCAACCGTAGTTATTGTAATCCTTCAAGGGGTCACTCTCGGGGATCGTGCACTTGATCATGTTTCGGAACTGCCACACGGCCCGTGGGCTGATGCTGTGGGCACCTCCCACTGCAAGAAGACACAGCCAGGGTACAAATCCATCTAGGTTGGCTCAGCAGAGGCCCCAAGGCCCCACTGCCTGCCTGCTCCCAGACCCCAACAACTTCTGCCTTGGAGGAGTTTTGGACTCAGGAACTTGGTAAAGTGAGTAGGATTTTTTTTTTTTCCTAAGACACAGTCTCACTCTGTAGCCCTGGCTAGAGTGCCATGGCATCATCATAGCTCATAGCAATCTCAAACTCTTGAGCTGAAGAGGTTCTCTTGCCTCAGCCTCCTGAGTATCTGGGACTACAGGTGGCTGGGGGTTTTTTTTGTTTGTTTGTTTGTTTTTTAATTTTTAGTCCAGATGGGGTCTCACTCTTACTCAGGCTGCTCTGGAATTCCTGAGCTCAAGGAATCCACCTGCCTTGGCCTCCCCGAGTGCTAGGATTACAGGTGTGAGCAGCCACACTTGGCCTTCCTCTCTCATTTGTACCACCTGTCTCCTACCCCCTTCACTGTAGCCTTCTGTCCCCATCCCTGACCTTCTGTTTCCCCTGTGTAGCACTTCTGTCATCTCAATTTTCAAAAGGCAAGAAGATCTTTGGTTAAATGCCACTTCTTCAAAGAGGCCCTTCCTGGACACTCCAGCTATGCGGCTCCCCCGCTGTCACTTTTCTTCATGTTCTTTGCTTCATCATCATCCTAACAATCTGTACCCATCTTTTATTTAATGCTTCCTTCTCCCGTGAGGTCCTCAAGGGCAGGCCTCCTGGCTTTTATGCCATAGGGCCTGGCATTGTGCTTGACTCAGAGTAGGCACTCAGTAGATAAAGGATGACATAAATGAATGAAATAATCAATGAATTTAAGAAAGTGTCTGGCACATAGTGTGTGTTCAGTTCATTTTTGTTGAATGAGTGAACAAATCTTGCCCCTAGCTCAAAGTGTCTTTGCCCAAATGAAGTCCAAGCTTTGCACAGCAAACTCAGTTCTCCTCTCCATTTGCATAGAGTCATACCCTGTGAGATTGTGTGCCCTAAAAAGAAGAAAGTATGAAAGTACTTTCAGGGTTGTCTTCAATTGGCCACTAGCATTGTCTCCTTGACCCATACCTAGTCCTTCCTTTTCTCCATCTCCTGGACACTCCAGGCCACTTGCTATGCTTACATCCCAGGATCCCAGTGGTCCCCTGTGGTGGTCTCCATGGTGGCAGCTGACTGAGGCTCAGACAGGAGGTAGCTGCCTATCCTGGACCATCTCCAGACCTCTGTCTTACTTGCTCCCCTGTTTTCTCTTCTCTCTTTCCCCCTCTCTCCTTGATCCACCCAGGTCTATTCATTGCTGAGGTTAGACCATCACAAAGCCATGGTCCCTGTGTGTGGTGTGTATGTGTGTGTGCTCCTCCAGTGGAGAACACTCTGAACTCTAGTCTTCACTAAAGCCTGGCACCTTGGAGGTCTCCATGCATGTTGAATGAATCAATGAACATGGATGAATGAGATGGGATTTAAATTCCAATGCATCTGATTGCATCAATTAATTTATTACACGGTGCCAATAACACCGTTCAGGGAGGATCATGAGTTCAGACCTACAGGTTGAAAAGTTGCCAGTGGTAGAAGGATTTGAGGGAACCTCAAGACAGCAGCTTGTAAGCCCACAGGGAACCTTGATTTCGGACTCCAGGGCTTGCTAGCTCTGTGTGCTGTGACCTGTGGCTCCCATTGCAGAAGAGTGAGATCTTAGTACAGGAAGGGAAAGGAGGGTGAAGCTGGGGAGAGTAGCCTACCTGTGAGCAGAGCAGCCAGCACAAGGAGTTTCATCTTGTAGTCAAGGAGGTGAATGAGAAAAAGGCTAAGGTGACTAGAAGCCTCTCTCCTTATAGTCAGTCATCCCACGCCCCCAAGATAAGGCTGTAGTGTTTGCTTTGCTCTTGGCTGACTCTGGTTTGGCCTTGGGTCTGTCTGGAGGAATGACCCTGACCCATTTGCCAGAAGGTGTCACTGGAAAAAATGCCATGCATTTATTCTCAGCACCTTGTACCTAGAATGATGGTGTCTGGAATTTTCAGATCTTGGAATCTCAGTCCTTATACCTACCCCTTTGCAATGGGCCCAGCTTCATGGGCTGAAGAGATTGGGGATGGGCAAAATTCTCAACTCAGTTAGGCAACTGAGATAAGGGTACAGGAAAGAATGATGTTGCCTCCACATCTTGTCAAATGCCTGAGTCTGAGCCTGGGTGCAGTAGCTCACACCTGTAATCCTAGCACCCTAGGCGACTGGGGTGGCAGTGGATTGCTTGAGATCAGAAGTTTGAGACCAACCTGAGCAAGACCCCATCTCCACTAAATATAGAAAAATTAGCCAGGTGTCATGGTGGGTGCCTATAATCCCAGCTACTTGGGAGGCTGAGGCAAGAGGATCTCGAGCCCAAGAGATTGAGGTTGCTGTGAGCTATGATGCCATAGCAGATAGAGCATCAGTTCTGTGGGTTTCTTTCTTTCTTTCTTTCTTT